GGTATGTAATGGGGTCCTATTGAAATCTGATAAAATCGTATAAAATTCGATTAAATCTGCTAAGGGACTATTTCAAGCTCGGTGCCGTATTAGGGGCTGTTTCAAATTAGGGCCTCATTAGGGACTTTTTCAAATGAGGGCTTTATTAGGGACCTATTAGGGACAATTGCAAACTAGGGCCTTATTACAAATCAGGGCCTTATTAGGGACTATTTCAATCATTGATTCAAATCAGGGCCTTATTAGAGTGACTACTTCAATTTAGGTCCTTATCAGGGACTATTTCGAACTAGGTCCTTATCAGTGACTATGACCCTTTAGGGCCTCATAGGGACTATTCCAAATTTAGGGCCAATTAGGGACCGTTCCAAATTAGGGACTGGAATCTGTCTTTGGAGGAAATTAAAGACAAGAGATCCCTAATTCCTTAAGAGTCGTGCCAAAAACCCGCCGATTTCAGAGGATCCGAGCCGCAATGAACTTTAGTCTTGGTCCTTTTAAAAGTAGTCTTGGAGGCAGATGTCAGAATTCTGGCGAACCCGTATTTCCGGCTGTGGCAGGCACGGCTTTGATCCGGACTTGCTACATAAGTCGGCGCGTAAGTTTCGAGAAAGTTCCGTGCAAGTCCCTTGTAAGAAGAGAAAAAATTCTACTTTGTAGGCGATAGTTAAGATAGTGAGCCCAAGCAAGGCTCTTCAAACCCACCCGCTCTGGGCGCCCGGTTGAAATCAGGCTTGGGGAGCCACCTCAGCCTCTCAGCGCTCTGGCATGTACATGTCCAGGCTCAGATTTCAGATTGTGGCTCGCAATGCCCGGGATCGAGGGGGTTTGCGAAGGCAGCTGCTCAAGGAGCTAGCATGCGCAGTGACTTCTCGGAAACAGCTCTTTTCGCGAAAACGGTCATTTCGGGATGAAGGATTTCAGATCAACGCCAGTACTGATGGCCTCGGAAAAGTAAAGCGCGGCATTAGCACCTGCACCAGCAACAATCAGCAATTCTCACAAGCGAGAGCTGTAATATGAGCTCACCCAAATCCACAGCAACGCGGTCGAGACCTCGACAACGTGTCCGAATCAGTTATTGGCCTGGTCTATTGTCCCTCAATTTGTACACGGTGGCTGCTCTTTTTTTGCGAAGGTCACTGGGCTTGATCCAAGCTGTGCACTTATGCCAATAGGATCCTGGCGCAGTGGGTCGGAAGGCCATCATGCAATGACGAAACTGGAATGGTTTTGGGATGTTTTGGGTCATAAGAGCATGCAGCTCTTCTGGGTCAGTATGTCCATGCAGAAGTGCGATTCTTATTGTTTTTTCCTGGACAAGAGGGGCTTTCACTACCCCAGAAGTACTTGAGAATTGTGATAATTGTATCGCATAAGGCGGTCGTTTACACGAGGTTTGCCACAGCACGTTCTCCAACGCTTGTAGGAACTTGCTTGGCAGTGCAGGGCGCTTTATGCTGCCCACAACTTCTACATGACTATAGACGCTCAGCGAAGTATCGGCAGCAACGCAACAGCAGCGACACTCTCAAGAACGTTCCGAAGACCTGGCATGAAAAACACGAACCACAAGCAGAGGAGGCCCATTCGAAGCATTTGATAAGTGTTGCAGTAGCATTGCATCACCAACTGCAAGAGCAGCAGCATGCAGAAGAACGTTGCACAAAGCGCAAAATGAAGAAACGTCTCCAACCACGGCAAAGTTGAACGGATGAGGCCCTTTCGGGGAAGTACATATGCAAATGCAGTGGCATGTAGTGGCATGGCATCAACATGTGGATGAGCAGCGCCATCAGAGATGCGCTACGAACATGTCAGCGTCAACCTGTTTGCTATCATCGCTGGTGGTAGGTAGCCGCAGGGTTAAATGAGAGGAGGAATTTAGCATAGCTGGCCTGGATGCATACAGAATCATGGTTGGACGCTGCTACTTGTTCTTATCACCCCTGGTCCTGTGTATGGAGCCCTTGAGCATGTTCGTGACCTCTGCGTTTCTGCGTCGCCTTAAAGCCCCTCAGTGCTAAGCACCTAAAACCTCGCAAGAGAGCAGTAGCTCGTCGCTACCCGGCCCGTCTAAAGCATCTGGTGTTGTTTCAAAGCTCGAGGCTGGCAACCTCACCTGCTAGCTGTTTTAGAAACTGTGCGGCAGGGACTGGGCCCAGTGCTTCATGATACATGAAATGTTTGAAAAGTAAGCTGAGATTATTTCCCTTTGCATCCGCGCTCCGGCCACTCCGACCGTTCACGTGTGGGCAGATGCCAAGCTCTATCCAGCGTCCGAGCCATGGAATTATTTGCTTTCAGACACGTGAGGCTCCCAAAACGGGGACGAGTCTGACATCTGGTGAATTCTTTGTTGCGGGGATTGACCCTTACGCCAAACTGTGTTGCCATCACTGAAGACGATGCGATTCTTGATGGACTTTGCAATTTCGGTACATGTTGCAACAAGCTTGAATCCCGAATGCCTTGTAGGGATTCGCCGGTGATTTGGCGCAGCGACTGCGGAAATCCCCCCTTCGAAGCCACTGAAAAATGGTGGAAATCTTTGAAAAGAGCGCTATGGCCCACGCGCACCAACCACCAACAGTGGGTCAAGTACAAGCCTGCAAAAGGCTAGCCTCAGATCGTATGAGGCAAAGGCAGATGCTGGTTAAGCCTTGCAGGCCTACACTTGACAGCCCACACTTTTCCCAAGCATGACTTTAGAAGCAAAGCCGCGCGTACAGCTTGAACCATCAGAGCTCTGCATCAATAGAGCCCAAGCAATAAGGCATGCTTGTCTGCCAGCTTGAGCTTTCCCGGCACGCTATGCAGAAGGGCGGGTTTTGAACCAGGTATAACCATAGTTCAAATAGGTAAGTCTCTAAGCTTGCAGCTTTGGCTGAGGCCATGACCTGTCGATTAGATTACCGTCCAATCACTGCCTTCAAAGGCAGGGAAGCCTCTGCCTGACTGGCCGTAAATTGGTGGAACCCTTGACCAAAAAGTGCTGTGAAGGGCATGTGAAAGCAACGACATGCATGATGTCGGCTTGTCTGACCAGGTAGTAAGTCATCCACAGCAAGCAACCGTCCTGCCAAGAGCCTTAAAGCCTCCTTTGAGGAGGGCATCGTCTTTAAGCACTTCACTGGGGCCGAGACTCCGGAGCCCCACAAGCAGCTTGTGGGGGATGCTATGGCAGGCGCACTCTGCGACATGAAAAGAAGTTGTGAAGTTATCAATGTTATGGGCAAGGAAGCCCACTCTGCAAAGGTCTTGAGTTTTTGGCAGAGGCGCTCCCCCAGCATTGACTCTGTGCTTTGAGGGAATGATTCCCATTGTAATCAAGGATTCCTTCCCAACATCCCTGCCAAGGTGCATTCACAACTTCGACTTTACGGTTTGGGGCTTCATGTTCCAGTTTCCAGCCTTGGTAGCTTTGGGAAAGTCATGCGCTGAACCCTTCTCACTTGACGTGGTTTTTGGCTTAGTCACAACTTGGCCATCAGCCGCATTTGAACAAGTGTTTAGGACCTCTCAGCCATGAAAGGTGTTGCAGATCCAGCTATACCGCAGCCGCACGCCATCTATGTAGGTTACAATGAGCGCCGTCACAGGACTTGTACAGGGATGTGCATGGACTCAAAACGGTCTGTGTTTGTAGATGAAGGGCTGCACGTAAGAAGCGAAGACGTGGCGTTTCAGCATGGAGTTACGTGTAGGACAGGCGCAGGGACGACACAGCTAAAGCTACTTCATCTAGTTGATTAGACGACTCATCGAATGATAGCAACAGAGCTGATTCATCACGCGGAGTCTTGGAGGCTCATGAAGATGAATTCAGTACGCCTGTGGGCTTGCAGCTTGCTGCTAAAAGCTGAAGTATACGAACCCAACTGTTCATACTGTTCTCTTGCACTAGGTTCAATCTCGGCGTTCTCCTTTTGATAATTTGTCAGGTGCAGCTTTTGACACAAGACATGCAGGATTCAAGTGTGGGTCGGGCTCCTGCTGGATGCTTGAGGTATTGAAAACTTCGTGTCAACCTATAGCATCTATAGCATAAGGTTTGGGGGTGTTGCCGCAACCCATGCCGAAGGGTAGAGAGTTTGGTGATACTCTGCAAGTGCAGGACCAAGCTAGTGGACCCGCACAAGCAGTACGACGCTCGTCTGAACAGCCATGAGGTTTAGCACCGCATAGAAGCAGGGATGCAGGCTTGGAGGTTTTGAATAGGAAAGCCTTGTAGGGTTCTAGTTGTTGGAGAGTCAAGGCGTTTGGATGTTCGATGCCGTTTGAGGGCACTGTGCTCCATAGTTGCGGGTTATGCAGCACTGAGGCTTCACTCGTTGTTGTCCCGGGCTGGTCTGTGTTAATCAATAGGTGAACTTCAGATCTTAGGCTTGAAAAGGTTGGCCAGCGATTCCAGATCAGGCCTCTAATCTGCGATGCGCGTTGCAAGGATCTCTTAAATTCAATGCTTAGTTCTGCGAGGCCTCTCAGCTTTGGGGCGTCGGCTTTATCCTCAGAAAGTCGCTGATCTTGACCGTACATTCAAACGAAGCCCTGTGAAACACCCAGAAAAGTCATTCGACAATTTACGCTCGAATTTTAAGGACACCATCCAGATCCCCAACCTTGAAGGATCCCGGAACTGGACCAGATGATCCCAAAGCCAGTATGCCCTGGTGCTCAGCCAGCAATATCACGAGGACGTGGCAGAGTACATAGTCCGCCATTCGCCGTGCAACGTGTCTCTTCTCAAAATGGCGAAAAGAGGGCTTCTGCTAAATCAATTCATGTTACAAGGCAAGCCATTCCAGGATTGACAGCACTGCAGGTCTGTAGGTTCAGGGTCGGAATTTGGAAAAAGCAAGTCTCCAAGACTCAGCTCCTTTCAGGCTTCAGTCGCTGTCGTTGTCAAAATGCGACACCTCACATGATGATGAATCCATTTCCAGTGGAACAGTAGCTCTAACCGTCTAGCTGTCACATTATCTTTGCAAGGTGCTGGCAAGGCGGAATGGATGGTCGACCCGAAGAGGGCTGCGACCATCCTCCAGAAGCCTAGAAACTTCACGTGTCTACCGATGCCTTTCAACCAAGCCGGAGAGGCAGCAGCCTTACGTCCCTTCCAAATTGAAACCCTCAACCTTGAATCGTTCACCAAGCCTCTTCAAGCTGATCGACCAGGTCGTTGTGGTGAAGGATGTGGCAGATACCGGTGGCCCAGCCCCAGAGCAGCCTACGGGTGAGAGCCCCGAGTGATCAGGAAGGGCGCCAGTTAGCGAAAGAACTTGAGGGACGCACTATTGAGGGAAACATGTGCAGGTCGGTTCTACTTTTGAGGTGTTGGCTCCGCTCGGGCCCGTGCCGATAATAGCCAAAAAGATTGCAACTGAATCAAAATGCACAGTGTAGCAGAAAGAAGCCTTCGGGAAGGCAGCGCCATGACTTCTGAACACTTACATGGGCTTATGTGTCTCGTGGATGCCTACATGACAGCCACACAGCACAGCATATGAAGGCATCTCTAGATTTTGATTTTGAGTAAGGTGCCGTGGCAGGCTGCAAAGGCTTTGGGTTGATTGGCAGTACATTGGTGTTGTCGGCTCGTTGCAGCGTTTGAGCTGTATTTGTTTTCGGATCATGTACGACCTGTTGACTGCTTGGGACTTGTTAAGAGGCTTCAAGATGAGTTCGCTGATCCAGGCCAGCCACTGGATCCCGATCACAGGGGTTGGAGGCCGCTGTCTCCCTAAAGAGGCCAAAGTTGCCCACTGGGAACAGTGAGGCTCATAGGCATAAGGCCGAACCTCACGCAAGTCTGGACTCTGGGTCCATGCAACAACATGTGGGGTTCAGGGGCTGGCGGATGCTTCAGACCTCATATAAGTCAAGCTTATCTCTAAGTTTTGATATGTTTTGATGCTGGCTTCAGGTTGCACCCGCTGATCCCACATCAAAGGCCTCAGCCTCCATTGGCTTGGCCCTTGAACTTCGCAACGTCCGGCCTTCACCCTCACCCGCACACCCGTACAGACGGTGTTAGCTTCGCAGCTCGCACGGTGACGTGCAGAAAGCACAGCTTCCTTTGCAGGGTGCCCAAAACAAATTGGCACCGGCCTCTGCAGCATATGGACCCAGGCCATGATCACAGGACACATCCTTTGAGTTCTTAGAATGTGACAAAGGCCGGGCAAAGGATTTGGCACAGGGTCAGCTAGCAGCTGCTTAGTAATACTCTGAACGGACCATGCATGTTGCCGGCTGCGCGCTCAGTCAGCACACCCCGCTGAGCCAACATTTCGGGGTCTTTGCACGGGATCTTTGAATAAGAGCTTGAAAGCTTTGACGCGAACGTCTAATAATGGCAGTACTAAAGACATCAATGACGGAGATCAGCTGTCCTGATATTTTTACCGTTGTTAGCATGATGTGCTTCATAGACCTGCTTTTCTGAAACGCGCAAAAGACGGCTGTCAGGGTGACTTGCTGGGTCTCTGGCAGCTGCAGAAGCAGGCGCCAAGGGGCTCAAACGCCGTGAGGATTGATGTTTCAGGACTTCTGGTAACGGCAATCAATGGCAGTCATCAAGATAAGCAGAACTGCCATCTTGCAATAGCAAGCCATGCAGACTTGCAACATGCTTTCAGGGAAGCGTACCAGCACTGGGACTCTTGAAGGAATATCTTCAATAAAGGTTGCAAGACAGCGCCTGCGGTGAGCAAAACAGTTCAGACATCATGCATGAGGCAAACAAGTTGCAACTGTATATGTTTCTTACACACATTAGAAGTCCCCTAGCCCTTATGAATAAATGGCAAATCATCCTGAAATGCGTGCACACCTGACTATCACAGCTTTGAAATGCTTTGAAGCATTGGAATGCTCTATTTATTTGAGGCTCCTGCTAGTAAAGAAGGCGCTGCGAATTTCACAGGCGGAACCACAGTTCGAGCCTAAGCTGTATGAGAGCATCATATGAACTTTTGAGGGGGAACAGCACTATAGTGCTTTTCCCCCTCAAGGTTTCACATGCTGCTTTCTTACAGCTTAACTATAAAAAGAATCTTTACGTCCAGGGCTTCTGAAAATCGTCAATACTTTATTGGGAAACGAAGTGGAGATTTATGTCATGTCCTGGGAAACATGGAGGGCACCTAGTTGGAGTACTACCGACTAGTTCTACCGACTTATACTAATAAGTGCAATCGTTCAAGGCTCGCACACTGAAGGGACCACGATCGCTACTGCTGCAAGGGCTGAAGTTCGCCAAGGACCCCCAAGAGTGATAGCCTGAACAGCGACACGCTGACAGCCCTCAATCTTGATAAGTCTCACTTTAGGCCTGCAGCTCATCCAGTGGAAGCCTATATATCAGACATGCATAAAGCAATAACAATAGCTCATCCTTCTCATGCTTGCATCTCAAAAGCCGAAAAGCTGTAGAACCCCTCCAAAAGCCCTTTCCCCAAGAAATCAAGAAGCTGCTTGTCGCACTGGACTTTACAAGACTACTCGACTGGATGGCTGTCATGTGGAGAAGCTGCTCGGATCAGGAGACATGGCCCTCAACCATGACCCGTACTGTATGGGCCAGCAACGCTTGCAAGAAGGGCTTCCTCAGAAATGGTAATGGCAACGAATCCTGCATATGGCAAGTAGACCTTGGACTCTAAGCAGGATGCGTATGTTTGACAACAGCTTTATAATCGCAAGCCCTTACCCACTGAAGCTTTGCATTGGGAGGTCGTGACCCGCTCGCCATCGCCACGCAGTCACGTCGTGTCTCCGGTGTCAGCGGCGACCGCCACACCGAGGACTTTCGTCGGCAGGGGGGTTTCAGCGGGCTTCTTTTGCAAGGGCTAACCCAGTATGGCAAGACACCTCAGTACGGCCCCACTAGCAAACGTTGGCCCAAAACCACCGATTGCTGACACAGACGAAGTCTGCAAACAGGAGCTCGGAAGAATGGTTCCCAAAGGGAAAGTGAAGACTACTTAGCAGGGAGCCCACGCAAAATTCAAACGCCGTTAAGATGCGTCATATACAGCCTTGATAAGCCGAAGTGAGGTGCTTCTGCCCACCGCGTGCTACCGAATATGTTCCATTGCCATCCATTGCCATGGTCTCATGAGAATGTACAGGTTTCTCAGGTCAAGTGGGAAGTTAGCCCGCGATTGATGGAAATTGGAATGAAAGACCTTTCTTTCAGAACTTGGCCAGAGGGTTGATGCAAAAAGAGAAATCACGCATTCCAAGCCTAGAAGACCACTTTGCACAGCCAGGCCCATCTCCACTGCATGAGCCGGAGCCCACGGTTCCCGCGCAAAGCGCGGGGCAACCGAGTTTGTTTGTTTATTTCGCGTCAGTGGGGGTGTATGTATGATTCCTCAGAGCATTTGGAGCACCCAGAACCAGGACCCAAAGACTCCGACAGAGCGCAATTCGCGCGTTTCAGATTCTTACTCCGCAGAAGGCCGATGCGCAAAACCTCTCACATTTCATCCAGGCTGTGCTTCAGCTTTGAGATGGGGGTTGGTGCTGTTGGTGAGGCAGTTCTGTATCACTGGAGGATTAACACCCCTACCATGCTGCACTTTTCTTGAGAGCTTGCTAGGTTGCTGCGCAAGGCTCCTGATACGGGGTTCATCAACGCCCGGGGTCGAGCAGGTTCCTAACATTTCATTTCTTTCCTCAAGGGGATGGGGGCATCGTTGCAGTCGAGGCATCACATCAAGACTTCAGCGATTTATATGGTGCTAAAC